GTGTTGGTCGAAGTAAAAATTTTTCTTGAAATTCTATTCTTAGTGGATGTAATTTTTTCTTAATTCAAATTATCATAAATACTTTATACAATAAATTTTTATATTTGATCAGGATTTTTAGATACTTTAGGGAAGCAGCGCCACCTACTTCAGCGGAGAAAAAAATTTTGTCACCTTGAGAAAATTTTTCTCTTGAATTTTTGATACCCTTTTTATATTATTTCAGCGTGCAATTACGCATATTGAATAAAAAAAAAACGATTCAATATTATTTGATCGTCCCATTTGACATGTTAATCAATAAAAATATTAATGAAAATTTACTTCTATCTTTATATTTAATTTTTTGGAGCAAGAGAGAAATTTTCTCATGACAAGAAAATTTACTTTTATCAAGAACTTAATTTTTTGGAGCAAGAGGATGAATTTTCTCTAAACAAGAAGATTTTCTTGACTTAAATAAATTTTCTTGGATCAAGATACGTATTTCTTAAAGCAACATAATTAATTTAGTTGTAATAAGTGAAATTTCTTGTGTCAAATAAAAGTTTTTTTTTTTATAGAAAATAATTGAGAAAAATATTTTTTTGGCACAAGTGAACCTTTTTTTTCTGTGCATTGTGATTAAAATCATCGATAAAATTATTGATTCAAAATTTATTTACTCATAATTCCTATATAAATTTCTCGACAGTTACATATTATATATGACAGTGACTACAGGTTGCTAGTTAAAAAAATAAAAGTGACACCAGATATCAGAGAGTTTACGAAAGAAGAGGTGACGAAGGATAGACGTGTTGTATATCTTTGGAAGGGTACCATAGGTGTTGACTCTCACTCTCACTCTCGACTCGACAAAACAGGTATCCGTGTTAGTTGTTGAGCATCGGCATCAGCATCAGCTTTGGAGCAACACGGGTAACATGAGCAACACTCAGCCTGTGTATATATGTATACGGGTACGGGCACGGGTAGTTACCGTAACTGCTACACAACACACATACACCGCGGATAAACGCGACGGCATTATCTCGAGCTCACACGATACGAGGAGTACAGTTGTCTCACCGCGTGCTCCCTGATGCGTGTGTCTAACACGCCCACGTGTAGCTCGTTACACTGACACTGAAGTACACTCACACTGTCGAAGAAACAAACAAACTCAACTGGTACCTTCTCTGTGGATATATATGCAGCAGAGTGTCACGTTATTCCACTGCTACACCCTATTCCTCAACTTCGCGATCCTATCATTTTAATTACCCGGTGTGGGTTAAACGCCACGAGCATTTATCGAGTTTGATATCTCGGAATCGTGCTCACTGATCCTCGGATCTCTATCTCTGTTCTGTAGCCATGTGGGTGTGGGTCTGGCTTGTAGGGTGCTCCGCTCGACATTATCGTGTTATGGGAGAACAACTCAGGTGTTGACTCTCTACTGCCTTATTATAAACTTAATCGCTCTTCGCTATCAAATATATTTAATATAATATATTAGATTTGTTAGAAAAATTAATCTTGCTATAATTTATTTGTCAGTAATTACTTATCAGCAAACCTTTCGATACCTCATTGATTATGAATTTTGTACATTGTGAATTGTTCTTCCCTTTCTAAGATTCTACTGCATTATACATCATTTACTACTTATAGTTTTAGTTCATAGTGTATCATTGCTTGTAGTAAAGTTCAAGTGGTAGTGTCTAGTAGCATTTGATACGTTTAGTTCATTTTTCGTCGTGATTCATTTCTTCTGTAAATACTAACTTATTAATTATGCCATTAATGATTGAAGTCAATGAACAAGGAGAAAAAATCCTTGTTCAGAGCGGCTATATGTACATTGAGGATTATCTCCTTCGTAGGGAGGTTCGTTGGAAATGCGTTTATTTTAAGAATCTTAAGTGTGAAGGCTTTTGCGACACGTCATCTACACAGGAGGATGGTATAATTTTTTTTTCTTTTTCACAATTTACATTTGTAAATTTCTAAGATCAATATAGTTATCGTTTATTTATTCATTAGGTTATGTGGTACAAGAAAGTGAACATTCTCATCCTTCTTATCAAGAAAAAATCGCATATAATGTTGCCGTCTGGAATTATTGTACTAATTGGAATCCTATGATGACTCCTACACCAAGAGAGACGACGTTGGCCCGACCTATAGCGCTATCGATTAATGTAGTAATCTTTATTTTTCATTATTTTTTGTCTTTGATATGATCTCACAGAATAATAATTTATGTCAAAAATATATCTTAATCGGTATGAAAATTAATCTTTCCATAATATCTTTATCAATAATCGCTCATTGGCAAATTTTTGTTACCTCATGATCATGAACTACCTGCATTATGAGTCATTAATCCATTTCTACGATTCTATACTGCACTAAGACCACATTATGTATCGCCTATATAGTTTGAGTTCATAGTGTATCATCGGTTATTTGGGAAAGTTGTGGTAAAGTTCAAGTGGTAATGTCTAGTAGCATTTGATACGTTTAGTTCATTTTTCGTCGTGATTCATTTCTTCTGTAAATACTAACTTATTAATTATGCCATTAATGATTGAAGTCAATGAACAAGGAGAAAAAATCCTTGTTCAGAGCGGCTATATGTACATTGAGGATTATCTCCTTCGTAGGGAGGTTCGTTGGAAATGCGTTTATTTTAAGAATCTTAAGTGTGAAGGCTTTTGCGACACGTCATCTACACAGGAGGATGGTATAATTTTTTTTTCTTTTTCACAATTTACATTTGTAAATTTCTAAGATCAATATAGTTATCGTTTATTTATTCATTAGGTTATGTGGTACAAGAAAGTGAACATTCTCATCCTTCTTATCAAGAAAAAATCGCATATAATGTTGCCGTCTGGAATTATTGTACTAATTGGAATCCTATGATGACTCCTACACCAAGAGAGACGACGTTGGCCCGACCTATAGCGCTATCGATTAATGTAGTAATCTTTATTTTTCATTATTTTTTGTCTTTGATATGATCTCACAGAATAATAATTTATGTCAAAAATATATCTTAATCGGTATGAAAATTAATCTTTCCATAATATCTTTATCAATAATCGCTCATTGGCAAATTTTTGTTACCTCATGATCATGAACTACCTGCATTATGAGTCATTAATCCATTTCTACGATTCTATACTGCACTAAGACCACATTATGTATCGCCTATATAGTTTGAGTTCATAGTGTATCATCGGTTATTTGGGAAAGTTGTGGTAAAGTTCAAGTGGTAATGTCTAGTAGCATTTGATACGTTTAGTTCATTTTTCGTCGTGATTCATTTCTTCTGTAAATACTAACTTATTAATTATGCCATTAATGATTGAAGTCAATGAACAAGGAGAAAAAATCCTTGTTCAGAGCGGCTATATGTACATTGAGGATTATCTCCTTCGTAGGGAGGTTCGTTGGAAATGCGTTTATTTTAAGAATCTTAAGTGTGAAGGCTTTTGCGACACGTCATCTACACAGGAGGATGGTATAATTTTTTTTTCTTTTTCACAATTTACATTTGTAAATTTCTAAGATCAATATAGTTATCGTTTATTTATTCATTAGGTTATGTGGTACAAGAAAGTGAACATTCTCATCCTTCTTATCAAGAAAAAATCGCATATAATGTTGCCGTCTGGAATTATTGTACTAATTGGAATCCTATGATGACTCCTACACCAAGAGAGACGACGTTGGCCCGACCTATAGCGCTATCGATTAATGTAGTAATCTTTATTTTTCATTATTTTTTGTCTTTGATATGATCTCACAGAATAATAATTTATGTCAAAAATATATCTTAATCGGTATGAAAATTAATCTTTCCATAATATCTTTATCAATAATCGCTCATTGGCAAATTTTTGTTACCTCATGATCATGAACTACCTGCATTATGAGTCATTAATCCATTTCTACGATTCTATACTGCACTAAGACCACATTATGTATCGCCTATATAGTTTGAGTTCATAGTGTATCATCGGTTATTTGGGAAAGTTGTGGTAAAGTTCAAGTGGTAATGTCTAGTAGCATTTGATACGTTTAGTTTATTCTTCGTCACGATTTGTTTCTCTCGTGAATACTAAATTATTAATTATGCCTATAAAATTTGTAATCAATGAACCAGGAAAAAAAATCCTTGTTAAGATCGGCTATAATTACATTGGTGATAATCCCCGTCGTAGGACACTTGTTTGGAAATGGGTTAATTTTAAGAATCTTAAGTGTAAAAGCTTTTGCGCCACGTCGTCTGCGAAGAATGACGGTATAATTTTTTTATATTTTTTTTTTTTTACGATTTCCATTTGTGAATTTCTAAGATCAATATTTTTATCGTTTATTTATTCATTAGGTTATGTGGTACAGAAAAGTGAACGTTCTCATCCTCCTTATCAAGAAAAAATGGCATATAATTTTGGCGTCTGGAATTTTCATACTAATTGGAATCCTATGAGGACTCCTACACCAAGAGAGATGATGTTGAACCGAGCTATAGCGAAATCGATTAACGTAGTAATTTTTATCTTTAATTATTTTTTCTCTTCGATATGGTCTCACAAAATAATAATATAAGTCAAAAATATATCTTAATCGGCACGAAAGTTAATCTTTCTATAATATCTTTGTCAATAATTGCTCATCAGCAAAATTTTCGATACCTCACTGTTCATAAATTTTTTACATTGTGAGTCATTATTCCCTTTCTACAATTCCACTGCACTATGGCTACATTATTTCCCACCTATAGAGTTTTAGTTCATTGTGTATCATTGCTTAGTTGGGAAGGTTTCGATCAAGTTAACGTGGTAGTGTTTAGTGGCTTTTGATGCGTTCAGCTCATTTTTTATTAGTCGTTTAATTTCTTTTGTAAATATCATTATATTAATCATGCCGTTAAACTTTATACGTGATATCAAGAGAAATTTGCTTGTTGATGACGATGGCTATCTTTACTTTCGTAGTCGCCGTTATGAAAAATACATATGGAAGTGCATTTTCTCTGATGAATTTGGCTGTCCAGGCCGTTGTAAAACGTCGAGTTGGCAAGAGAATGGTATTACTTTATTCTATTTATTTAATTACAATTTACACTTGTGAGTTTCTAAGATCAATACATTTATCGTTTATGTGTTCATTAGGTGTTATAATGTATGTACGTAGTCACAACCATCCTTCTGCAAAACAAATGGAGGAGAAATTAAATCAAGATCGGCAAAGTATATTTATAGAGTTAGTTGCCAGTGTCTCGAAATCACTCAATATTCCGAATAATATTGTGACGACTCCTACATCAAGAGAGATGACGTTGAACCAATCTATAACGGAAGCGATGAACATAGTAATCTTTATTTTTCATTATTTTTTTTTTTTTGACATGGTCTCATAGAATAATAATTCATATCAAAAATACATCTTAATTCGTACGAAAATTAATCTTTCTATAATATCTGTCAATAATTTCTCATCGGCATTATGAGTCATTATTCCCTTTCTACGATTTTGCGGCACTATGGCTAAATCATTTTCTACCTATAGTTTTAGTTTATTGTTTATTGTGTATCATTGCTTATTTGAGAAGGTTAACATGGTAGTGTTTAGTGGAATTTGATGCGTTCAGTTCATTTTTCGACGTTCGTTTAATTTCTTTTGTAAATATCAATATATTAATCATGCCGTTAAAATTTATATTTAATAAAAAGAGGGAAAGACACGTTCTTGATGAGCACGGCTATATTTACTCTTATTGTCCGGGTTATGAAACATTAAAATGGAAGTGTATCTATTATAAGGAACTTGAGTGTGAAGGCTGGTGCAAAACGTCGAGTTCGCGAGAGAATGGTATTACTTCATTTTCTTTATTTTATTACGATTTTCATTTGTGAGTTTCTAAGATCAATATATTTATTGTTTATTATGTGTTCATTAGGTGATATTATTCATAGACATAGTCACAATCATCTTCCTGGTTCTCAAGAAAGACTTGACGGGACGATGAGTAAACAACATAATCAGCTTAGAGAATTGGCTTCTGTTACTAGTATCTCAAATTTTCACACTAATTCGAATCCTATGACTCCTATGACTCCTAGGACTCCTACACCAAGAGAGACGACGTTGGTCCGACCTATAGCGCTATCGACTAATGTAGTAATCTTTTTTTTCATTATTTATTGTCTTTGATATGGTCTCATAGAATAATAATTTATGTCAAAAATATATCTTAATCCGTACGAAAATTAATCTTTCTATAGTATCTTTGTCAATAATTGCTCATCAGCAAAATTTTCGTTACCTTGTTGATCATAAATTTTCTGCATTATGCGTCATCATTCCCTTTTTACGATTTTACTTCACTATGGCTACATTATTTCCCACCTATAGTTTTAGTTCATTGTGTATCCATGTACCCATGCTTATTTGGGAAGGTTACGATGAAGGTAACGTGGTAGGGTTTAGTGTCATTTGATGCGTTCTGCTCATTTTTCATCGTTCGTTTAATTTCTTTTGTAAATATCAATATATTAATCATGCCATTAAATATTGTATTTAATAAATACAATGAAAAACACGTTATTGATGAAGAGGGCTATCGTTACGTTTGTTGTTACGATAATGAAAAATTAATATAGAAGTGCATCTATCATAAGAAATTTAAGTGTGAAGGCTATTGCAAAACTTCGAGTTCTCGAATGTATGGTATTACTTTATTTCATTACAATTTCCATTTGTGAGATTCTTAGATCAACATATTTATCCTTTATGCGTTCTTTAGGTGAAATAATTTATAAACATGATCACAATCATCCTCCTAGTTCTAAAATAGTTGCCGAGATTAAACGTCACAATCGGCTTAAAGAAAAGGCTATTGCTGCTAGTGTCTCAAATTCACACACTAATTCAAATCCTATGACGAGTTGAGTACTAAGTGACAGATCGTCCAACAACTCTATAACAAGTTTGATTAACAAAGTAGTCTTTATTTTTATTTATTTGTCTTTTTAATGTGCACATGGTCCTATGAAGTAATAATTTATATTAAAAATAATTAAACAACATATAAATATATAAAAAAGTCTGCTAAAAATTAGTGACAGATTTTGTATAGTTTTATATATTATTCATTTACTTTTAATATAAATTTTTTCCGTTCATAGAAGTTTATGTTAAATTTATGTCCCGGTAGATTAGACAAGGATAATGGATTGTAATAGTGAATTAAGCGACGCCTTAATTTATTATTAGTGAGAGTGAGTATGAGAATAAGTGTCTGTATAATTTGTGTATATGTATACGCGCAGTGTTTATTCGAAAAGCATATTAAACACGACGTGTATTATTGTAGATTGTAGTTTCCTCCTTGCCCTCAGCCGGCATACTAATATATGAACTGCAGTCTGCATAGTCTGCAGTAAGCTTTGCTGGCAGGTAGAGGCTCTTGCAGGCAGTAATAATAATGCTATGCATTATTTATGTCATTGGACTGTGTAACATAACAATATGGAGTTACGAATCAAAATGCATTGCTTATGCAAATGCCGTAGTCGTGTTTTGTTGGCGATGCGTGCTCGTGGGCTATGCTCGACAATAATAGTCATAGTATCGCCGGTAGAAACTCACTCATTCTTAGAATAATACCAGTTATTATTATAATTGTACCAATTAGCTTTCACGCTGTTAATCTTTCACTGCTGGTGATTTATTGTCGACTAAATTTTCGAAATAAAAATTTCTATTTTTGTGTGTACATAAATATAGATAAATAGACTAATATTGTGCTAACTAAACGTATTCATAAGGCATACAAATGTATGTGTAGTGTCTGAGAAAGTTAGCTTGGATATAGTATTGCGTGGTCGATGCACCGCAGCTCGCGGTTTCCGTGGTCCAGCGAAAACCGCCACCGGATGAGTCTGCTTCTCGAGCACTACACGTCATTCAACTTAGTTCCTCCAAGTCTTTATGTTATTTGTGCCGGTGAGAGAAGACCAGAAGTACCAAGTCTGAGACCAACTAGCTCTTAATGTAAGGACCAGAAGATAAAGATGACAAAGATCCTTCAGTTTACGGCTTAGAATTATATATCATGGTAGACCGAGCTTTCCTTCCTTGGACACAGGTCAAGAGCCTCGTCAAAGTCAATGGAAATAATTAATTGAAATTCCTATTTAGAAGATTCTATTCTTGTAAATTATTACCTTGATGACATTGTTTTTTTTATCTTGAGCGATTTTATCGGAGCGTTGAATAATATTTGAAGTCAACTACTTTATTATTATTATATTATATCGGTGTGGACTTTGCGTCGAGTTTAAAGTTTTAAAAAATTTGTCTGTAAAATTAATATCAAGATTGTAATTTATCTTATTTGCGAATTCAGCATCGAGAGAAGAGTGTTTGTTTTTATTTATAAATTATCCAATTAACGGCGAGGTATATTTGAGGAAGAGAACAGAAAGAAAAGAATGAAAAAAAATATTATTTTTATAAAATAAAATCTAGATGTGGTATAATTAAATTAGCCTGGGGATAGAGCCAGCGATGATTGAGATATCTCGGATTAAATATTTAACTGATTGGTGTGTAATCAAATTGAATATAAAATAAAAATAAAAAATTTTATTAATAAAACAAGAGGCCAGAGCAGGAATAAAAATATTTGAATTAATAGATAGAGGCATTTATGGAAAGCTGGAATTAAACATCATTGAATTGGGGTTTCAAATAAAATTAATAGGACTAATAAAAAATAAAAAGGTCGAGTTGATTGACATTTGAATTGATTTACACAGAATATTATTTGTTGAATTATAATGTGCAGCATACGATTTTGTAGACGAATGAGTAGAGAGTAAGAGCAGGGTGATTTGCAGTAGCATATGTATGTATATGTATATGTATATGTGTATATGTATATGTGTATGAACAGGCTTCACTCTTGTGAAAATGCTTTTCCGGCGGAAAATCATTTTGTCACGATGACGGCACTCGGTGTATGCGTGCTCCGGACGTTTATGCGGTGATTCGACTATCCAATCGTTTTATATTAGTGGTTTTTCGCTGTACATACACACACGTGTGCCGCCCACCCACACCTTTATAAATACATACATGAATTTCAATGGTTTCGTTGAATTTAATATTTTTTAATTATCATCAGCACCGCAGTAATCAATACGAGATTAATTTACATCCACTCAAAAATGAATATAACAAAGAATAATTAATTAATTTACTATTTTAGAGCGATGAATTGAACCGATACTCCCCGTTACGCCGTAAAATATTTATATTTTCCTATAAATATAAATTTATTGATAATAAACCCGGTATTCCGTATACTCCCTCTCTCTCTCTTTTGATTATTAAATTTCCATTTTATTTAGCATACATTAAAAGCGTTTATTAATTTTCCCGCTTATTATTTTCTCTTTAGCGACTGGCTTTAAAATCACTATCGTGTATCGATTATTAACGCTTATCTCGTTATTTTTTGGACAGAAAATTATTTCTTGAATAGAACCAATAAAATTCATTGAAAGCTCGTTGACAAGAAGAGAAATAAATCCAAATGGCTTTCAAACGAAGAAATTATTTGTATTGTTTAAATTAAAAATATGCCCGACTAGAATTTTAGTGAGGCATGCCAAAAAATTAGTTCGGGGCGAAGTTGGCTTTCCGAACTTAGGCTAGCCCAATTCGGATCTTATTTGTTTTAAATTAGGCAAGCCGAACATTGGTATGCCAAAAGAATTCCACATTCGATGTAATCTCGTAATAGTTTGGCACTGCCTAAGTTCGGCATATCATGGATTGCCTAATTAGTACGAAATAACGGTAACCAAAGGTTTACCGAAGTTTGGTTCACCAAGCCTGGGCTTACTTAGGTAAACCTGTGGAAATGCCTAAGTTCGATGTATCATGGATTGCCTAACTGTTATGAAATAACAGTAACCAAAGGCTTACCGAAACTTGGCATACCATGATCGAGCTTCTTTAGGCAAAACTGTGGAAATGCCTAAGTTCAGTATATCATGGATTGCCAAACTGTTGTGAAATAACGATAACCAAAGAGGCTTACCAAAATTCAATTCACCAAGCTCGGGCTAATTTAGGCAAACCTGTGGCAATGCCTAAGTTCGATATGTCATGGATTGCCAAACTAGTATGAAATAACGGTAACCAAAGGATTACCGAAGTTTGGTTCTCCAAGCTCGGGCTCATTTAGGCAAAACTGTGGCAGTGCCTAAGTTCGGTATGCCATGAATTGCCAAACTGGTACGAAATAACGGTAACCAAAAGCTTACCAAACAGTAACTAAAGGCATTCTGAAGCTTGGTCTATCAAAATCGAACTTGACTAGATAAGTCTGTGGCAAGTCCTCACTTAGGTATAATATCGGAATTCCTAACTCGAACGTTGCAACGGTAACCGAATGTTTGCCGAAGTGTCAGGCTTATAAGTATCTTGAGGCAAGAGGTCGCTCATCGCCGGCGTAGCGTCGCGGTATGGTATAGGGCTCTCGTGCGTCGGGTACAGTGTTCGAGTCTCGCGTTCGACATGTAATATTTTTAATAATTATTAATTGTAATTACTCTTAAGACAAGTGTGACATAAATTTAAGTGTTGTATGTGACTA